ATCACTCTAGGAAACAGAACACCTAGATTTACGTCCCTACTCTGTCCCTTTGTTTGTGTGACTGTAACCTGTTTCCTGTGTTCTCCCCTGTAAAATGGAAATAACATTGATTCTAACTCAAATGGAATCACACATGTGAAGGTACTCTATAAATTATAAAGCACTGTACAAATGGTTATTAAAAATCCTAATCTAGACCTTAAAAATATATGACCACAGAGAACCACAGGACATGAAATAACTGTTCTTTCTTCACTGTGAAGGATAAAATGGAATGGAATAAATACATGGAATTCTAGGCCATGATCAGGGGTTTTGTGTGGCATAAGAGCTATATGGTGGCTTCTATTTCTTTTGTAATGGTCCACGGCATCCAATAGAAATGTTCCATCTAGAAAGATGCTCTGTGAACGCAGTTTCTCTATCAAATCTATTCTTATCTCAGAATGTTTTCCCACTTTCCTGCTATCCAGAGTGATGCTGATTGGGGATACTGGCCCAGGATGGAAGGGGGGTTGTTGGAGGCTACCTCCCCTAAACTATTGGCCTGGCCAATGATGAATAGTGGACCATGCAAATCCTCTGGGCCAGACCCTCAGAATACACTGGAGAAACCGGGAAAATGGTGGCAGAAGACCAGACATTTGGTCTGGTGACCTTGGCCCTCTTCCTCTGAGCTTTAGAAGAATACAGGCGTTGGCGACAAAAGCTGAGCTGTGGGTGGAGAAGGGGTTTTGGGTGGTGAGCTAGCTCTGCCCGACAGAAGCTAGCAATGAGTGTGGCACAGGGGTTTGTGAATGGAGGCTGGCTGAAAGGAGGGCTGGTAAGCAGAAGAGTGAGACAAGGTAGGATGCTAGTAACAGAATGCAAAGTCCTGAAAAAATGGAAATCCATAATGACATTTCTTGAATTTGTGAAATCAGATTGTTAGAATTACAAGGATGTTAAAGATCAGTTTTAAAACCTCCGTTTCGGGGACTTCCCTGGCGGTCCAGTGGTTAAGCCTTTGCCTTCCAATGCAAGGGGCGTGGGTTCGATTCCTGGTCAGGGAGCTAAGATCCCATATGCCTCGAGGCCAAAAACCCAAAAAAAATAAAATAAAACCTCCGTTTCGTCCATACATGTGTAAACAGGCTTGAAGAGGTGAAATAACCTGCTTTACATCACATGACAAATTAAGGAAGAAGCTGGTGGGACTTGAGCCCAGGAATGCTGAGTCTCTATGATTTTGTTTCCCACTCAACCCAGTTTCTTCCCTAAAGGAAGATCCTAAGCCTGCTACAAGGTTAACACAATTCACAAAATTTCAGTGAACCAACTTCTCAAAAAGGAGACCTGCCCAAGGCTGGGCTGGGGAGGGGATGTCTTGGTGCCCTCAGTAGCAGGTGGAAGTGGCCGAGGAGACAGGCTGTGTAGGGTTTTCACCAGCTGGCCTATACTTGATGACAGCAGGTCCTAACAATTAGCCGGTAAAGAAGTGGAATTCGGGGATGAAGTAAAAGAGGTCATCTCCTTCCCAGACTGCCTTGATGAGAGAAGGAGGCCCCTTTCTTGCTATTCCCATCTCTGTAAATCTCTCCCTACATGGACACCGTCCAGAAAAGCTGTTTCTGATCAACCTTCTTACAAGCCCTTCTGGTTGCCTGTTAAATTACAGCAGGTTGCAGCTCATAAACAAGTGCCCACAGTGAAGTGGGGGCAGGTATAAAAATAAACCGAAGGCTGTTTTAAAGTAGTTTAGGAGTGAATAGAGTTTACAAATTCAGAAACATGGGAAGATGTTTGTGTCAAATTCCCACACCGACAGCTTTCCTCTAGTCAAAATGCTTGGTAGCTGAGTGGGTGCAAGTGCAGGGAAAGAGAGAGAGAGAAATTAGAGGGGGTTAATGTGGTGTTTTGGTGTTTTATTCTGTTTAAATTCAGAGAGAGAGAGAGAGAGAGAGAGAGCTGTATCACAGCTCTGAAGAAAACTAGTTAAATTGTGATGGCAACCAAGTAAAAATATGTATGAGACAAGCACTTGAAAGTCATATGCAAACATGAAAATAATTGTGTTGGAGGAGGTGGGAATTATGGATGATTTCCTCCCAAACCCTTAATACGGTTCAACATTTTCAATGAAAAAAAAATCTTTTTTTCTTTTTTGGCCGTGTTGGGTGGCATGTGGGATCTTAGCTCCCCGACCAGGGATTGAACCTGGGCCCTCAGCAGTGAGAGCTCGGAGTCCTAACCACTGGACTGCCAGGGAATTACCTCAATGAAATATTTTAACTTTTAAAATTTTGCTTCCTGGCTCTTTTGTTAACCTGATGTTATAAGATCATAATCCCTCCAAATTCTTGTTTGTTGCCCATCACAGCAGTTTTTAGAACAGCAGAACACTGAGCATCATCTAAATGTTTCAGAGTGCAGATTACACAGACTGTGGCCCAGCTACAACAATGGACCACTATATAGCCATGAAAAAGGAAGGTGCATCAACTTTTTTTTTTTGGCTGCGCCGCAAGGCCTGCAGGATCTTAGCTCCCTGACCAGGGGGTCGAACCTGTGCCCCCTGCAGTGGAAGTGCAGAGCCTTAACCACTGGACCGCCGGGGAAGTCCCCAAAACGAAGGTGCATATCAGAATGTGTGGATATGAAATGGCCAAGAGAGTGAACAAAGGCAGGTATAGGATGAATTTAGTTTAAACGTGTGTGTATACACACACACACAGAAACGTGTACCGGACCATGGAAGGATACCCAAGAAAGTTGGTAATGGAGAAGGGAATTACACAGGGCCTGAGGTGAAGATTCACTTTTCATGATATAAATTCCTATAGCGTTTGAAAAAAAAAAAAAGTGTGTGTGTGGGGGTGTATAATATACTGGTATCACTTTTCTAAGTCCTATTAACTTTCTAGGCAATGTTCTAAGGGTGTTCTTCCTAAGTAGTTTTAAGAGAGAGAAACCACAAGTCCTATTCTTGTCCCCATACTTAGAAAACAGACAATCTGATTATGCCTAGAGTTGTCAAAATGTGGAGGCAATGTGTGAGAAACTAAATATGCTCATCTTGCAGAGGGAGGTCTACTGAGATGTGTATACATAGTGCAGCTGAAGAACTGGGTCAGCCTCCCACCAGGCCACCCCAAATAAAGAAGCAAGGAAATGAGCTGTTCAACTTCTCTCCTTGGAGGGCCCAGGGGTGCCCGGCACTTTAAAGGATACACAGTAGCCCAGATGCACAGAACCATCCCAAAGTTCTGGGAATCATGTTCTCTCCCAAATATTCTGTACCAAACAATTCCCAGGTCTCTCAGGGCCCAGATCAGTATTCCAGAGCTTCAAGGAACCAAAACACTGTGTCTAGATACAGAGGAGGGACCGGAACAGCTTCTAGCCTCCATATGTAGGACCGTCCCTGGGTCCTCTACCCAATGACACTGTGTGCCATGCACTTTAATATTCTGACCAATTTTTTACAGAACACGTTACCTTCACTCTCAAAACTTTGTTTTGCTTTCACATATTTCAGGCTCTAATGAAAAGACGTTTCACTACAAATTCATGAGAAGGGATGGCAAAATCTTTTTGTCATTCCCTCCTAGGCATTTCAGCCTGAAGGATGTTCAGCGTTACTAAGACTGAGGGAAAACCCAAGATAGTGGGCAAGGCATAGCCTCTGGTACATGACTTAGTGCCCGGGATAAGCAGATCCCAGAGAGGGAAAATCACTGGCTCCGAGGTTCTCTGGAGCCAAATAATGGCAGGTTTGGACACGTAGAGGAACAGGAGATGGGAACAAGCCTTGATGGGAAGATGGCAGGACAGACCATGGAGTTCAGTGAAGATGGCAGATAGCAAAGGGTGGGTCACAGGGCATAGCTGTGGAATGACCTGAATTAGCCAGCCCATTATTTTCCCCAAACATGCTGCCCCTAAACAACTTAAAAGGGAAACATTTTCTTGGTTAAGTTGAAAATCACTGTGTTCAACACATTTCCTCATAATTTCTGATAGAGATGAAGACTAAGTGCTCACGATGTCCCTTATCGCTACCATGCCTACTAAGCCAGCCAGCTCTGGTCTATTCTGAGTTTCTACTTCATTTGCAAGGGTGTGTGTGTGTGTGTGTGTGTGTGTGTGTGTGTGTGTACATGCCTTTATCCCTCACTCTCCCTGATCTTTGTTCATTTTACAGGTTACTAGAACCTACACCAGGGCACAGGGCAAGAAAGAAAACCCATTTATATAAACCATTCTGATATGTGCTTTTATTTTTGAAACCATGAGCTAAAATGATATCTGTGAACTTGATTAACTATGCTTTGCTCCATGACTACACATAAGCCAAGACTGGTTACATTTTGGGGATGTACAATTTATTCTCTGCCTTTTCCCTGCTTAAGTGACCTCAATCCATTTTAACCAGCAGGTCCCTTTACTGACCAGTCTGAGGTGGACACAGGTGTGAACTTCAGCTGGGAGGATTCCCAGTCTCCTGCCCACTGTCTAACTCTGCCCGCCCCCCAGAGATGGATGCGTTCAGCTTTGCTTTAAATACAAATAGCTTCACTGTCACCATGGACCTTTCTCACAGTTTATTTTTTAATGTTTCATTATCTCACTGCTATTTTCTCCAGATTTTCCATATTGTTCTCGAAATCTCAAACTCCAAACTGGAATGCAGAGTCTAGCACAGACTGTCACACAGCCTGGTGGAGGATCACTTCCCTCCCAGTTTCTAAGGGGGTCTCCCTTCCTCTATAGATACCAGCATCCCAGCGGCTGTCCGTGCACAGGCTGTACTCGCCAGCCTGCAGAGCAGCTGCTGACCCATGCTTACTTTGGGATCTGCTAGGACCCCTGGCTCTTCTTCTGCTCTTCAGCCAGGACAGCCACCACCCACCTCATGGAACCCATCCCCCATCACCTCCTGGGATCTCAGCGCTGACCTGATGAGAAGTCTCCCACGAGTCTGCACTGCTTTACCCGGCCCTGCCCCTGCCCCGGCCCACCTGGAAGACGTCATTGGCACACTTGCGGCACAGGTTGTGCTGGCAGGGCAGGATCACCACCGGTTTGGAGAACATCTCCAGGCAGATGGGGCAGATGAGCTGCTTCTCCAGGCTGTCCATGCTGTGTGCATCCCCTAGCAGCGGCTTGAAACCCACTGTGAAGTTCATCCCCTCAGCAGTCGTGCCTGCCCTGGCCTTGACCCTGGTCCTGGCCTTCCCTCACTGCCTCTGGACCCTTCCTCGTTTACTTTAGACAGTCTGCGGATTCTCGTGCTCCCTCGCTCCCGAAATAGCTCTGCTATCTCTTCTGTCCCTTCCTCTAACAATTTGCCTTGTCTTAAATAGCTGTTTTCAGACACTTCTGTGTCTCTCTTGAATCTCTGCTCTGTACCCCAGCCAGGCACACGTAGCTTTTTCTATCCCTCCCTCCTTGAAAGGCTCTGTCCCTGGGAATTTCTCCTTTTGTTTCCCAAACCACTCTTGTCCACTCTATGGGCGGCACTATTTGTCTCTCACTCCCCAGAGAGGAGATTATTTTTTAACGTGGGGGTGGGGAACAAGGGGCATCTGTGTGTGACATTCCAGCTCCCAATTTAGCTCATGTAAGGCGAGCCACAGCTGTCACCGAGTGACCCTGACTCACTCAGGAACGGTGACTCCCTTGAGCAAGAGGCGGGGTGAGCTTCACCGCTTATGGTGGAAGGTAGGACAGCAAAGGGGCTCTTAGGGGGCTCCTGTAATCCCCTGACCCCCATGCTCTGGCCTGGGCCCCTCTTCCAGGGCAGTGACACAGAATCTGAATCGGCCTGTATGAGAGGTACCATCCATGGCTCAGGGTGGGAGGAAAGATCCTGCCAGACCTACAGTCAGTGAAAGTTTCTGCCTCTGAGGCTTAGCCAGTGACCTTGGCCCTCTTCCTCTGAACCCTGTGATTCAGAACAAGGGCACCAGAGAGGAGAGAGAGGCTCTGGTTCAACACTTCTGGACCCATTTTTGGTTTTGCCCAGACCTTTCTTATATCCGCCTAGGAAAAGAAGCCCAGGAGGCTGGAGCTGGCAGGTGTGCCAGGGCCTGGAACTACCTCATGAGCAAGCCCCTGAGAAAGTGTGGGATTCTGGTCCATGAACACATCACTGGAGCCACTCAAAGGACTTTAAATTTGTTAGGAAATTGAGAGTAGCTGAGCAGGGCAGAAAGGACCTGAATGCCAGGGACCTATTTCGGGCACCAGGGGAATCAGTCTCCAGGGAAATTTTAGAGCACTGACAAAGTCATCATCACAAGGCTCTGGGAAGCCTCTGCCCCAGCTCCACAGCTGTCCTGGACTCCTGCTCTCCAAGGCAGGCTGGTTTCAGATGCGCACACTGGCCCTCTATCTTTTTCTCCTACTTCTTCTCTATCCCAGGCACAATTTGTCTTTTTGGGGCCCAACATATGCACTGGGATTGGACAAAAGCTCTTTTATTCACTGACATCCCTTAGCCCCTCTCCCAGTCAGGAGAGAGAAGTTTGAGGAGTTACTAGACTCTGACCCTGCATAGACGAGAAATGGTGTGATGAGGATACCGAAGAGACAGTGCGATGAGGCACATATGGGGAAAGGGTCTGTAAAAGTGCAATCTTTACCCTATCACACGTTTCATGCCCCAGTTTTAAGAGCAAAACATATAGTGATGAGCTTGCATAAGATGTGGTCAAAAGGACGGAGGCAGGCAGGCACTGAGGTGTGAACTTCAGTCAACCCACAGGCGCCCTGCTAATGGGTGCTATGCTGGTAGCCGCAGTCTAGGGAGAATCCAAAGGTGGGATAACTACCCCTAAGCCTCAAATGCATTGATACTTTTCCTGAGTTGTCTCATGTGGTATGGAATGAGGCTGGCAATGCCAAAGGCATGGGCACCGAAAAAGATGAGACCAGCCCCCAGAAAGGTGTACTCGCTTAGGAACGTGGCTGACACTAAGAGCTCTTGGTACACAGAACTGCAACAAAGAAGGGTTAGCTGCTATGGCAGCTCCAGGACAGGATCCATCCAGCTTGGCTATCAGGATCCTGACAGAGATATCGCAAGTGGCTGACCCTACCAGCTGACATTGGCTCAAATCCCAAGAAGAGCACAGGAAAAAGAATGCCCAGGAAAAGACTGTCATCACTGCCTAAGACCTCACAAGGGTAGGGATACGAGGGCTGCTCTCTAACAGACTAAAATTGGGACTGCAGCTAAAAAGAAGAATAGCTGGGTGACCCTGTATGGCCGGGGTCAGTTATACCATCAAGTACAAAGATGGCATCCTCACTGGGATGGATGCCATCGATGCTTCTGAAGATGGGAGTCTTACAAGTAGAGGGGAAAATCAGGGTCAGTGTCAGGACAGGGCTACTTGCTCTTCTCTTCACCGAGTCCAGCGGACTGGGCAGCAGAAGGCACCCTCACTGGGTCAGCACCTAAGGGCAGAAGAAGATGGCATCTTATTAACCAGAAGGAATGATCACCCAGAATTTAAAGCCAACCCCCTATAGGTAAGGATACAAATACCTGTAGTCCATACTATAAAGATATCAACTTTCCACTAATGACTCATCTGAAGTTAGTGTCTAACCTTTTCTTTCTTACCCTTTAATTATTGCTGCATTTCAGTTTTCATACCTCACTCTTCTTCATCTTTTAATAATTATCATCACTAGAATTATCTTCCCCTCTTCTAAAATGTTCTCTGTGTCCTGTGATGGAATTTGAAAAACACGTATTTAGTAACAAGTTTTTAGTCCACTGGTGAAAAAATGGTTACCTTGCAGTTATGCATTCACATCACTAGGTGGCACTGGTGTGAATAAGGGGGATAATCTCAGGCACTTTACCTTTCTCTTGAGTAAATGCAAAGAACTGCATCCTCTAACTTGTCTTCGACTACTGCCTTTTCTAGGCACAGTCCCCCACCCCATTCTTTTCCTTAACTTCCACCCCATTCGTTAAGCTTAACAGTCATAGGAGGACAACATCACATTCAAACTGTCAGTGTGTGGCATAAACAAACTCAGAAACCAAGTGTATCCCCTTCTCTTTCTTCACTTTGCCCCAATACTGACTTGAGACTCCCATAGTTGGGAGTTCACAGTTTCACCCCCAACCATTTCCTGCATCCCTATTCCAGCTCTCATCCCAGTCCCTGCCTGTGGTTCTCACCTGGCCTTGGAGGCTGATTCTGGACATTCGGCTCATATTTTTTCTTAGCTGCTTCCTCGGGTGGTGGCTTAAGTGTTCCACAGCAAAAGCAGCAGCAACAGCAGCAGCAGCAACAGGTAAGCAGAGCACACAGGAGGACAAGCGTCTAAAAGGTGGGAAAGAATGGCTTCAATCCGGCACAAGCGTCTAAAAGGTGGGAAAGAATGGCTTCAATCCGGCAGTTCTTGTGTATTTCCATTCAAGCTCCCCTCCCTCAATCCTTCCAGCACCTGCTATATGAGACAACAGAAGCATGTGTCCTAGGAGAGGGGGATTAGCTGTCCTAAGAGAGGAGGGTTGCCCCTGCTTCCTTATTCTTAAGAGACTAGGAAGAATTGTGTACCTTGAACCAACAGCTATTCAGCGTAAAATAGTATGTGACGCCTTCTTCGCCAAAGTGGTCGTATATATATATTCCCAATGAGCCATGCCGGTCGTAAATTTGCCGCTTCTTAGGGTCACTCAGTACGGAGTGGGCTGTGTTGATCTCCTTGAATATTTCTGCTGCTTGAGGGTCCCCTGGATTCTTGTCTGGATGATACTTCAAGGCCAGTCTCCTACCCAAGCAATACCCAAAGGAGGGTGGGGAGAGGATGGGAATGGCTGGGGAGGGAGGGTTAGGGTGAATGACAGGGATAGGTCTCTAGATGGTGAAAAACGAATGCATGAGATGTGGTACAAAGGATGGAGGCACGCAGCCCAAGTCTACATTCCTTCCCGTGTCACAATGAAGAGGATGATGGCCCCACCTGGCCCCAAAGTGAAGGCTTGGGGATTTAAAAATGGGTCAGAAAGCAAGGTAGAGGGAAAAGGGTTCAAGGGGGAGAATTGCAGGATTCAATAAGGGGCTGATGTCTGAACCTGTAGGCCTTTTTGACGTCTTCAGGTGAAGCACCCTTCTTAAGTTCCAGCACTGCATAGAGGGTTGATCCAGTTTTGGACAACAGGCGGGCTGCTTCGTCCACGTGAGCCATGATCTGGGTCAGAGGAGAAGCAGCATTTGTGAGAACTCCCACAGGTGAGGCCACAGAGAAGCGAACTTCCAGTGACAGGAAGCTCATCGCCTTCAGGGGCGAGGCAGGTAAGTGGCTACAATGGGACAAGTATAAGACAAGAGTGACTGACATCTGTGACTAGCAGAAGAGTGCGGGTGACAAGACTTTCAAATCTTAAAGAGGAAACATCTTCTCCTCACATTTCCCAGTGTCCTTCAGATACACAGACCTCCAGACACCCCACATTCTACAGAGGTGAAGCCAAGGGAGGTCTAAACCCTGCATAAAGATCGATTTTGTCCAGAGCTACTGGTACCTTAAGTAAACAGCCCCGAGCCTGTCCAAGCTCATTACTGGGTTTGAAAGACCAGCAGGGCCCCAGCCCCTGAACAGCTTGGGTGGGGAATCATGGAGATCCCCAATTCCCAAGGGAGAAGCAAGTCAGACGAAACCCTGCGCTGCCTAAGAGAAGTCAGGCGTCCAAAAGCCAGGCCGGGAGGCAGTGCTTGCACCTAGGCCAGACGCTTTCTTCCTCCTAACCTCCCCGCTCAAACCCTCCCACCTCTGTCCCTCAGGGAGGACAGAGGGGTGACTCAAGGGATAAAGGAGGAGCTGTGGGGCAGACCAGAGAGGTAGCAGCGAGCAGGACCCCAGAGGGCTGGGGGAGCACTTGGGAGGCTGAGGCTTGGAGAACCAAGGCAACAAGCTCAGAGGGAACGCTCTGGTTCCCCAGGTCCCCTCTGGCTCTGTGTGGACGCCCCCCCCCCCAAACCCAGCCTGGCGTCTACCTCGGAGTCGCTCTCTTCAGCCGGGGAGGCCTCACGCAACCTCCATCAAGGTGTGAAACTTCACACGGCAGCGGGCCGGTGGCCGACTGCGCCTGCGCGCTGCGTCAACACTAGGGGTCCCTTTTTGGCGCTGCAGGTAGGTCTGGGAGGGACTTATTTCTCTCGCGGGGAGCCTGAGCGTAGGGATCTGCCTGGCACCAGCGGCCAAGGGCTGCGGCGTGTCGGTTCCAGCCCCACCCGCGGATGCAGCCTGCAGGGCCGTCCCTTCTCGAGTGGGAGGGGACTCATTCGATCAGGGACGTGGCTCATCGACTCACCTAAGGAAAGATAACGGGGCTTGCAGACCGTGGCTGTATGAGAGGTATGTTTGCTACAAACCTTTCTCAAGAGGTATATTACCTTCTTTTACGGAATTTAAGGGTCTCCACTTGGTCCTTTTTTTCCTTTCTGCCGGGAAACTCCTACACATGCTTTAAGACCTACATCAAATGTCAGTATTCCTA